AAAATAAAAGTTAATGTTCAACGGTGAATATATATCTAGCTAGTACATCATAGTTTTGGGTGAAATCAGACATCAGCCAGAGTCTACCGAACAACAAAACGGTACCTAACGTGTATGGTTTGATAAATGATGCAGAATCCTACCAAGAATAGTGATACTGAAACTTAAATCAGATGGGGTGTCTAGCATGATGCCATTCACTTGATTCATAATTATTTTGTTCTTTGATTAGAACTTTGAACTGATAAATGCCATATATACAGAAACTTCATCACCATCATGTCTCTGCTACTCTTCAGACCTGCAACCCTGAGAAGTGTCCCCATTTTCTTTCTTCACATGTGAACTAACTCAGAGAATATCTATATATATATAATTCATGTTTGTTACTGAGTTTTATGTAGTAAAATACTGATGGTATAAATCAGAATTTGGAGCAATAAATAATATTGTTATATTTAAAAAAGTGGAACACGCATAAACTTTGTGTAAAGGGTTGTCAGAACCATGCAGTGTACATTGTAGAGTACTGTCCAATGCGATTCAGCAATGGAAGAGAGGCCCCATAAAGTAGCAGGTGGGTAGGTCTGCACTCTGCAGCCTAAAATTACAGCAAAAAAGTGAGCCCCGCCTGCAAGATTATTTCACTCAAATAATCTCAATTTTTAATTTCTGTCACTTGAGATTCATTAATGCAATGTTTATTGAATAATTGCAATCTTAAATTTTTCATGTCATTATTAATTCTTGACGTTCATATTTAAATTCAGATTTTTTTATTAATAATATTGTATTCAAAGATAACTAAAAATGGTATAATAATACAGCCACAATGTGAAAAAGAAACAAAAAAACATTTTCCGTTATACCAGGTTGGTAAAATCAATCCCAACATTATTCTACTTTACCAAAGACTACATAGATTTTCAGACACTCGATGTTTCTTAATAATTTTCTCTAATGCTATTTTAATACACGTTACGTTACGATCGTCTTTATTTAAACTTGGATGATGTTTATAATAAATAATTTAAATCTTGCAGTTATATTTTGTTATGTTATTTCTCAACACTTTCAAGCTGTGAATAAAATAAAATAAAAAGTAAATGTAATCAAATTTTAAGTATGAAAATATATCATGTACAAAATAGAAATTTAAACAGATGTCCTTTCATTGGAATAATTTGTTTTAATCATGGTCGATTACGTGGTACCGGTGAAACGGAAATGAAAAGAAAATGATGTAATGTTTTTATTTTTGTAAAGATAATGAATGAAAATGCATGTTGAGGTTTGAATAGGAATATAGTTTAATTTACATTGATCTTTCCGGTCATGATTTCCATACTTTAAGATACTAAATTGGGTTGTGTTAATATCTGGTATAAGAAATGCTTAAAATAATATATTAAGGTATTAGATATTTGTAGATATTTATCTTTTTCTCATTAGTGACATTGTGACTGTATTATAATCTAGAATATATTGTATGGGTAATCTCTTAAATTAGTTTTTAATTTTATACGTTACAAATTTAAATAACATTTCGATAATTACAAGTCATGGATTCCAAATTTTGAAGAATATTAAAAATTTCAAAATGAACCAAATATTTTAGACAGAATAAAAAAAATTAAATATTTCTTAGGAACGTTTTTTGTATAAAAGATGGTATCTTAATATTTGTTTAGAATTTCCAATTATTAAACATAACTCAATATTACAATTTAAAGTGTTTATTTTAAATGAAAAATAATATACAGAACATTAGTTTTGTATTTTTATTTACTTCAAAATGTGTTTTTATATTCTAAATTGTAAATTTAGTTTGATTATGTAACTAGTTAAAATAATAATATATGTGTGTGTATGTGTGTATTATTTTGTTTTTCTTATATGATTAGCAACATGACAACCAAAGTTCAAATCTGAATGAGAAATAAGGTTTGCACTTATTTAAAAGGAGATTAAGGTGTAACTTTTTTTAGCCCAAATTTGAAACTTCATTTCGACTTGTAAAGGAATTTTTTGGTCAAGTTTGCCTCCTTTATCAATCAAGTTTAATTAAAAACTTGAGTTTGATTTGTTAAAAGAGTATCGATTCTATGTTTTGACCAGTTCACTCATTCATACTTTAATTATTTATTTATTAAATTTTTTATATTGTTTTTAACTCTATCATTATATATATATATATATATATATATATATATATATATANNNNTATATATATATATATATATATATAAGTTTATAAGCTCATTTAAATTATTAAATTAAATTAAAAAGTTAAGTTTATATTCTTACCTTGAAAAATAATTGAATGTCGAACCTGGACACATTTATATAGCATTCTATACTCTGAGATTTCTTTTTTTATATTTATATTTTTTTAAAAATTTACCTTTTAAATATTTTTAATAAAATTAAAATAATTATTTTATTAATTTAAATTAAATTATTGTTTTCAATTTGACCATTATCTAAACTAATTATTTTTAATCATAAAACTACATATAAAATAAATAAATAAATAATTATGTCTAATCTCATAATTATAATAATTATTATTATTTTATTATCTTTTATTATCATAAAAAAAGTTAATATAAATGAGCGTATGTATTTTCAGTAGTGATAAATAAACAAAATAGTCAATATTGCATTTATATTACATCATAAAGTCTTTTTCATAAATGAAAATATAACTTATATGATAAAATTTATTTATTTATTGTAAAGTTTAATTATGACATGTTTTTTATATTAACCTTTTAATTATTTTAATTGTACAAAAAGATAAATATATCTAATTTAAATAATTTATTGAAAAGGCTAGTTTTATATAAATTCCAAATAACTAATAAAGAATAGAGACGCCTTGTAACACTTTAAAATATCTAATCAAAATGTGAGTATATACTTATATTTTTATATGGGTTATTCAATAAAATATTTTACATAATTATAAGGTCATTCCAAAAGAAAAAAAAAAAAAGTACACACCCTTATTCTCATTTATACCTATTACCTTAACTTGTAATGTCATTTTCTTAAATATAAGAACGAGTATAATAAAAGACACCTTACAAAAATACAAGATGCATCTATAGTAAAGAATATATATGAACACGTTACAAATTTAAACAAATTAGTTCACAAGAAATAAAATTACATTATTCACATTTATATAAATACACACATACCTATAATCAATATATATATATATATATATATATTCAATTGTTTTTTATCTCTTAACCTAAAAAGTCTGTGAACATAAAATATATTAAAAAATTTAATTATGTTCCTTGGAAGATAGCTTGAGTAATAATAATCAATTGAAAAAAAAAAGGAAGTTTCTTTAATTTTGTCTAAATATCGATATTCTTGGAAGTGAAATTTTTGTTTAATCTTATTCCTCTTTAATATGTTTCATTTGAAACAATATAATATATGGTGTGTCACCGATGCAAATATTTTACTTAAGTATGTAATATAGATTGTCGTTCAAAAAGAAAAAACTTAATGTAGTGACACTTTTTAATCTATTGATAACGTATAGGTTATTCATCGTAAAAATTATATACTATATTTTGAGTATTTGATTACAGACTATATTTTTACAACGAAATGCACTTTATGTACTTCCTAAAAATAGTTTATTTCATCAATAATAAACAAAGTATCATAGATTTAAGTTTGAAATTACTTCAAGAGATAAAAATTATTTTTACAAAATAATCCATTATTTATTGACGAATTATTTTAAAAAATTTTAGATAATCAATTAACTCAAGTGATAATTTAGTGTCTAAGAGTCATTTCAAGAATTATTTTTCTAGGATAATCAAAATAATAATTGATCATTCCAAATAACCTTGTTATTTCTTATTTTAATTAGGATAATCGATTATTTTAAGTGATAATCGATTATTTTAGTGAATTTTTTGAAACAATACTTTTTTTATCTTATTATTCTAACCATTGTATTATTACAAATGAAGTATTATAAAAGTTTTTTTCTTAAACAATCCATTGAACATCAGTTTCTTCTTGTCTTTAAAAAAATTATCATCATGATTCTTTTGACTTAAATTTCAATATGTTGCTAATAAATATCCCTTGATGATAGTTCCTAATTTGACAAACAATTTGTTATAGATCTTGAAAAATTTAGTTTAAAAAAAAACTCTTTCTAAAGATATATTATATGTAATAGCATGCAATTTTAACAAGGTAAGAAAAAGAAGGATTTACTCAGTTTTTTTTTATATATTGGTTTATCCTATAACTTAAAACTGTGTATAATTTTCAATCAATTGATTCAGTTTTACTATTTAGACTAATGTTGCAATTTAAAACACTAGTATTCTTTTATATCATTGTCATTTCTAACTAACATGTCTAGTATTATTTTGAAAGATAGTCACTTTTACTTAACTCGTTCAGTATTCTTTTTTAACATAGATAAAATTTCAAGTGTTTTTTTAGAATGTATCCACTCTCAACTAAGAAACTATTGTCTAAAAAATGATATAAACGATCTTAACATTACTAACTAGAAATAGTAATTAAACACAATAATATTAATTGAAACATCCTTAATTGAATGTCAAATACTTAATTAAAATAAGAAATGGTGACGACAATATTGAGTGTCTATTGCTCTGAATAATACAATGAAAAATAATTTTTTTACCTTTATAAATAAACTACTATATTAACTAAAGACACACACACGAAATCTTTCTCGCTTAAGTCTCCTTTTATTTTAGCATGGAATATATATATATATATTAATGTTCTTAATTTGAACAGCTTTATACATGTTTTAGAAAACAAAAGAATGGTTTAATAAAGAAAAAACCAAATGAGGTTCGAAAATTGAAAATTAAATTAAAATATTTAAAAAAGCTGAGTCAGTATCCTCCCTCCAAACCTACTATGTTATTAGTCTTTCTGACTTGTCTCACATGGCATGACTCACCTGCAATCAACCAAACTCAGAAACTCAGAAACCAAAACAAAACCCACTCTTCTCTTCTCTTTTCTCCCCCTTCCATGGAACCCTTCAACTTCCTCAAATACTGGAAAGGCGCTGCCAATGCCACCCCAAACGACCCTTTCTTCGACTTGGAGTTGGCCTTGACCGACGAAGACGATTCCCAAGACGACACTAACGGAACTCAAAACGACGACGACGACGCCCAAGACCAAGATCATAACAACCAATCAGAACCAGACTCCGACTCCGACTCAGACTCAGAGAAAGAGTTCAACTTCACGCTTTCTCCTTCCGCTTCCTCCGACCACCCTACCATTTCCCTCTCTCCCTCTCACCATCTCGTCTTCAACGGAAACATTCTTCTCAACTCTCAACCCAACTCCAAGCCTCACTTCACTGCCTCCTTCTTCAAATCCGCCACCAAGCTCCGCGTCTTCATGTTGGGCCTCAAGAAGCCCAAGCCCAACGCCCACAACAAACAGCCCAACACCCACCCCAAGAAAAAGCTTTTCACCGTCAACTTCAAGGTGGAAGAGGTTCCCATCGTCTCCTTCTTCACCAGAGATAACAGCTCCAGAGCCAAACCCTCCAACACTCATAACGCAGACCAAACGGAACCGTCACACGCACAGATTGAAGACAAGCGCTCAATGCCAAAGTATTTGAAAATGGTCAAGCCTCTCTACGTCAGGGTTTCTAAAAGGTACGCCGAAAAGCTTAGGTTTTCCGACCAGGTCGAAGGCACTTCGCCGGAGTCTGCGCCCCCGTGCTCTACCGTGCAGGAGAAATCCCCGACGGAGGCTGAGGGTTCTCAGACGGAGGGAGCCGCCCCCGCCAACGTGAAGGGGCAGAAACAGGGGAATGTTCCTCTGCCTGCTGGCCTACGCAAGCATCTAGGCAAAGGTCGTGCGACAACACCGCCGCCGCCGCAGTTTGAGTCTTCGAAACGGCGTGATGATTCGCTGTTGCAGCAGCATGATTGGATTCAGGGTGCTATTTTGCATTGTAAGAGGTCCTTCAACGCTGCTTCTGGTANTGACTTTATTTAAATGTTTATGTTTTATTTTTATCTAATTTAATCTAAAACCCTAATTTGATCTCACTTCCTTTCACTCTTCACTGTCACAGTCCCACACTCTCACACCACAGAAACTTCTCTTCTTCTTCTCTTCCTATTTTCCTTGTTTACTGTTTATCTCAGCTCTACACCCCACACCCTTACATAAACTTTATTTTTTCTTTTCACTCTCTTCTTCCTCTCCTCCTAATACTTCTTTTATTTGTGATGTTTGTTTCCTCCTCCATTTCCGATGCTTCAATTGTCACTGAGTTGGCTCCAAAGATGATTGGTTCGTGAAGAAAAGTGTTGTTCTTGATTGATTTTTCCCCAAAATGTTGGTATTTGTGTGATGTTGTTTGAAAACCGTAGAAGAAGCAAAACACGAAGGCCTGAACGGATATGAGATATTTGTTCGTCCTTCAACGAGTCTTGATTGTCGACGGATGTCAAGATCCATTGAAGGCCCAACGGATCTCGTATATTCTTTCCTGCCTTCGTGTTTGACTTCTTTTATTTTTTTATTTTAGTTTATTAATTTTATTGTTTTGTATAATTCTAGATTTTGAGTTATTTATTAATTTAATTATAATTATTTAATTTGTTTAAAATATGTTTTGCATAAAAGAAAATCGTTCAAAGGACAAATGAATCTTGATTTCCGTTGATGTATGTCAAGATCTGTTGAAGGCCAAACAGATCTCTCATATCTGTTGATCTACATGACAAAATGAGAATAAGAAGATGCATGAAATAACATGTGATTGTGGAGGGAGTAACCCTCATATTTTGGTCTTGTGATTTTTTTGGATAAAGACTTTTTCGATTCTATGGGCTTTTTGGTCCAATCCATGTAGATTAGGACCAAATTTTATGAGAGGGATAAAATTAACAGGTTTAATATAAACAATATTTCTCATTTTATATGATTTGTTCTGTGATCGATTGATCTTAAATATCGATCTTGAACTCGGATTGAAAATGTATAATATAAAATTAAATTTAAAAAGTGACTTAATAGTACTACTTTCTAGTCTTAAGATAAAAGCATTGATAAAAGTAATTTTTTTTCTAAGAAAATTCATAATAATAATATAGAAAAAATCAAACTAGTTGCAAAAAATAGTTAGTTATATTTAATTTCACTACTTTTATTTTTAAAACTAATTATTTTTTTCTTAACTACTGTTTCTTAAAGCTTGATATTAAAAGTAAAATTGAAATTAAATGAAATTTTAAGATAATATCTTTAAATGAGGTATATGCAGTTAACAATTTGTTTATATTAATTAAATTTTATTTGTAAGTAAATCCTAGATCCAAATTTTGATAAAACTTTTAACTCAATTATATAATTGAGACCCATAAGCCAAAACATCTTGTCTCTTTTTCTAGTTATCAAGGCCCTTTTATACTAATTGTCTCATGTCCTCAAAGGTTATTAGATTGATTAACATTAAACTCTTACTTATTAAAAGAATCTTTAACTTAATTAGTTGAATTTTTACAAATGGATTTAATACATCATTCTATATTATCATTATATTATTATAATATATTTTTTAATTTCTTCATTATTTTCAACGCTGTCAATTTAGTTTCATATAAAAAGTCTTACAAGCATATCGGTTGAATTCATTAAATTTAATAAATTTAATTAATAATAACAATTTGTCAAAACTTATACCTTTTAATTATTGAAATTATATCCTCGTAATCTCTTTTAATATCCAGAAAACTAATGATAAGTATCCCTGTTAAAGACATTTGATTTTAGAAAACTAATGAACTCAAGAAGTTATTTGAGAAAAAAAGAACTTAGAAAAATAATATTGATAAAGTTCTGGAAAAGTTCTATAGAAAAGACTTGTAAGAGAAGGAGAAACAGATAACATTTACTATAGGATTAACTCAAATCATATATCCATAATCAGTACAATTAAAGTGCGAAAAATTGCGCAGTAGATGGAAACATCTTTGATGCAAAACAACCTACAAACACTAGCTATTTTCCACTGCTATCATCATCCTAACAAATTCACAAAGAATTAACATCAAAACCAACCTAAATATCAACGTTTCCAAAACAATTGTCACCATTTTTAATCGACCCAGTGGTGATGTTGTATGTGATTGTGCAGTTCATCTCAACCACAACTTTCCTCGAAAAAATGTTTAGTATTTTGACCTTACCATCAATCCTGGTATAGCTGCTGATATTCAAAGCCTGATCCTTTAGGTCAGTATCCAAATTTGGAATCGCCAGAAGCTTCTTTGCAATAATCTCCATGGTGGTGTTGACCCTTATGGTTCTTCTGGGCTTGGCTTTCCCCGGTGGAGATTCACCATCACCTATTTCCTCTCCATTATAGTAAACATCGGTTCTGGCGTTTCCAAACCTGAAGGTAAAAGCGTTTGGATTCTTCACAGATATATCAGCAAGAATCGTAACGTTGTCAGTAGAACCGTTGGCGAAAGTTCCACTGATAACGTTAATCCCGTTCGTCCTCACCTGGGGGTCTTTGACATTGTAAACGGTGAAGCCCAAGACCAGTACTATGACCACAAGTAGCACAACAATTGCAGTGGCACAACCGCAGCACTGGATAAACTTTCTTATTCGAATGTTTTTGCTGTGTGTGAATGCGTAGTCTTGATCTTCTTGAAAGTTGAAGTGGGATGATGATATGAATGGAGCCAAGGGCTTGATCTGCTGATCAGGACTCTGCTGAGCCATGCTGATTTGTGATGGTAGTGGGAATTTAACTTAGGATGAGATGGTCTTCTTGAAACTATACATTATGGCTTACTAGCAAATGGGTGGTGGGTACTTAGATCAATTTCCAATATGAAATGGTTGATTCCACGTTGATAGCGATAACTCTGTCTCCTGCACCTGCGATGTAATTGACAAGATAAATTTAGTCTTTAAATATAACATTTTTTTTTTGTCTTGAATACTAATAAAATCTTGTTGTTCAGGTATATATATGATCAGATGTTGGTGGTGTTCGATCTCCACATGGGATAAGAGAGAGTGACCCATGAATAAATATTAGTATTTTTGTGCAATTAACTTTAAGTTTTTGGTTGAAAATCTTGTATTGATCAGAAATGGTAAAAAGAAGAAAATAAAGGTTATTTGTCTTGACCTTAAGGTATTGAGAATTAAGGAATTATTGGTTGATGTTTTCCTGAACGCGTTTCCAGTATTTGCACGGCTTGACCGATGACTAAATGGGAGGTTACTGAAATTAAAGGCAAAGAATGATTAAATGTACTTGATTTATGGACTAAAAAAATTGAGATGATGATTCAAGGGGAGTGACTTTGAAGGATTCTAGAAATAGGAGTGAGGGAAAAGACACATCCGGCCTGAAGGAATATGAAATGCAGCAGTGCAGAGTATTGGATCAGCAAATGCGTTGTAACAAACTAAAAAATTAGGCCAGTTTCATTCCACTACCTTGTCGATTTTCGCCTTTGAGAATGTGCAATTAAATATGTTTTGACTTGGTCATGAAGACCCAGCTTTTGGAAAATAATTTTTAACTCTTTGATGGGAAAGTTAATAAATATTTAAGTCATCATACTCAATCCACAGGATTCTAATGTTGGTAGTCCCCACCATTTTATCCATCTCAATTCCCTTACACGGTGAATCGGTCAAAGAGATATCATAAATCCTTCTTCATAGAGCCATTTTTCATTTTCTTATTTGCTTTTTCCCTTCCATTTCACAAAAACGGTGGCACTGAACCCTTTCGGCCCTTTGGGCTTGCGTTTTACACAAGACTTAATGCATAGGGCCACTTTTATCAGTTGTGCATTTACTATATCTTACGGATGTTGGATCTAAATAAAAAGGTATTTATACTCTAGATCCTCTCTATGCGCCGCGCCATCTGCTCTCAATTGCTCCACCATTTATAATAAGATTAATAATATCACAAAGAACATAACGTGTTTGATATATTTTTTTTATTTTCATAAATTCTGACATGCAGATCAGAAAATAAACAACCAATAACTCTTACTGAATATACGTTAGTTTTCGTATAGAAAGAAAAAATAGTAATTTGTAATGTAAAATTTTGTATATTTCAAATGGTGTGTACAGTTGTGTATTTACAATTTCATTTCAGCTGACATTGAACAAACCCCTTCTCCATTATGCAGAAGAGATTAAGCATCTGGAGTTTATTTCACGCACATCCTTTCCATCCAAACGAGGATTAGAGTAGCATTTATTGAAGACGTGTTTAAATCATATTCAAAGTCTTTGCCGAAAAAATGACCCAAATGGAACCTTACTGAAGAATTTTATATTAATATACTCCTGATCTGGCTCGTAAACTCTGTGCAGATAGTTTTAATATGCATTGACTAAATGAGCACCGGAAAATATCATCGTGGCTCAATAGTTTAAGTCGTGTTCACAAACCAATGCGGTTGAGGAGAACACAACCGTTTGACTGAAGCTAGGAAGAAGAAGATGAAATAAAATATTATTATTAATATAAATATTTTTAAACAGCATTACTTTAAATATTTTAAATTAGAAGCTAAATATGTATTGAGTTTTTAAATTTTAATACGAAATGAGATTTTTTAAAATTTTTTTAATACAGTTTAATCTTCAAATTTAAAAAATAAATAAATAGATTTAATTATGTTAATTTTATTTTACATGTCAAACATACTGTAACATCACATGCATTTTCAACGAAAAGAGGCATGTTAATAAAAAGAATGTTAAATATTAAGTAAAATTCTCCATCGATTAAAAAAAATTGTACAACTGTTTTTTCTTCAAAATAACTACATAACTTCAGTTTCTAAAACAAATATGTTTTCTTCTAAATGTTCCATATAATTAATACTCTCATCATTCTTATGTTTGAATTATGTTGAAAAATATTCACATAAATATAAATCAAAATAAAAGAATAACATTTTTAATGATCTTCTTCAACTTTGAGATTTGTTTACCCTAAATCTATAAATTCTTTTGTAATTCTTATATCATCAGAATATATTAGAACTACACATTCCTATGTAACACATACCTTAATTTATATTTCTTTTTATCGATAATGTTTAATTGGCGTGAGTATAAGAGGTAAATTTACAAGTTGATTATTCTTTATTACAACTCAAAAAAATAAATTCTTATAGTATCTAATTTATTAATGAAAAAGAGGTTGAAGTTATTATAATATTGTTTCATCTTTCTTTTAACTTTATCATTATATCGTATTTATATTTGATTCCACACTAATGATTACACTTAAACAATTCAGCGTCATCTCTCTTTCTCTAAAGCATCTTATTGAAATCTAGTCACATTGATTGCATTGGACATACTTAATACACTTTTCGAGATCTCCATATTTAAACTTTGATCATATATCTATAAGGTTACTTATTAATGACATCAATTTATGCGGCGAATCCTAAAAGTATGTAGTGATTTTATACACGTGTTGGCGATTTTATTACGGTATTAAAAATTGTAGTGAAATGTTTCAGATGTAACATTGCTCAATCACACAAGGTTTTAATGCTTAAAAATATGAGTTTTATATTATTTACAAGACAGTTGTAATTTAGTGGTGGAGAGGGTGGCGTGGGGTTTGGTTGTTGGGTTGGTGTTATGTTTGTGTTAAGGTTGTTTTGTGGTTGGTTGGTGTGTTGTGGTGGAGGAGTGTGAGGGTGGTGGTTTTTTGGGTTGGTTGTTGTTGGGTTGGGTTATTTTTTTTTTTTAATTTTTTTTTTACATTTACGATATTTTTAATAGATAACAAAGTGTTTATTATAAAATTAAATACTAAAATAAATGTAAATGCTATGAATGGTATATTTAAAAAGTAAAGTATACTACAGCAAGGTTTATAGTTTAAAATAAATGGAATTATTTAATGGTTAAATATGTTGTAATGGAAATAAGCTTGAAGAAATGTGTGATGGAAAGAAAGAGAAAGAGAAAGAGAGATTATGACAGTTGACTACGTTCCATTGTTATTTATTTAGCAAAGTGGAGCCGTTCTCAGATAAAAAATGAGAGTATAATAAGAAAATGTATGTAGTAAATTGAGAGGAAGAGTTAAAAAGAAAGGATAGTGGGCTGAGTTGACAAAAGTGATATCTGCCGTCGCCTAAAAACCTCTGTAATAAGAGGTCCCACTAGCGTAAAATAGAGATATTCCCTTTCGTTTTCCAACCCAGCACAAGGTCACTTGCACACACTCTCCCTCTACTTCTTCTCAACCCTTAAAACCAAGCCACACAAACACAACCATTAAACAAAGAAATCAAACCCAACATCTTATAGTGCTCATACAGAGCCCTTACACCTCTTCTCTCAACCCACACACATACTAATATAAAAACCCAACAACACACTCTTATTTTCTTGCGTATAATTATTTTACCATACTTTAGAAACATTCCATCAATTTCTGTTCCTCTTCTTAATCCCTTCCATTATATAGGTCCCCCCCATTAACAAATACAATACATCCTATTCTTCTCTCCTGCAAAACCCCCCTTCTTTTCTTTCTTCGCATTCACGCGTTCACGTCCTTGTCTCATATATTATCAACGCGTTATTCCTCTTGGTCTCTCTTTCCTATTCCAAACTCAACTTACCATAATCCAATTTCCAAAACAACTTTGCTCAACCACTGCTCCACTTTAGCCACGCAACACTAATTGCATTGCATAACCGATTTACCTTCCCTTTCCTTTCGGACACACTTAATCTCCCATCGCTACATTTCTTCCTGCCATTTTCTCTTATCAATGAGTGCTGTTCCGAGGCACGAGCGCCGATGGGCGTCCGACACTGTTCCCGGAAGAGCCACTGTCAGCGCCGGAACTTCGCCGGGAACTGATTCCAGCTCTGCCGTGGAGGAGTTCGTGGAGGTTACGCTTGATCTTCAAGATGATGATACCATCGTTCTTCGGAGCGTCGAGCCAGCCTCGGTTATTAACATCGACGACGGCGTCGCTGGGAGCGGATACGAGACTCCGGCGTCGGTATCGCGGTCGCCGACGATGCGGCGGAGCTCGTCGCGGGGCTTCCGGCAGTTCTCGCAGGAGCTGAAGGCGGAAGCGGTGGCGAAGGCGAGGCAGTTCTCGCAGGAGCTAAAATCGGAGCTGCGGCGCTTCTCGTGGAGCCATAGCCAGGCTTCGCGCGCGCTCTCTTCTTCCTCGGGGCATAACGGCGCCGGAGGTGGATTCGAAACGGCGCTGGCCGCTCGTGCTCTCAGGAGGCAACGCGCGCAGCTTGATCGCACGCGCTCCGGTGCGCACAAAGCGCTTCGCGGTCTGAAATTTATCAGTAGCAAATCGAATGGTGTTGATGCGTGGAACGAGGTGCAGAACAGCTTCGATAGAATCTCTAAGGATGGATTTCTCAATCGGGCCGATTTTGCGCAATGCATAGGTCTGTTTCTTTTTTCGAATCTCGCATTGTTTGTTTAAATCTTTTGATTAGTTTATTCTACAGAGTTTTCCCAACCCTCCCTGTTTTATTGCATTGAATTTTCATTGCTTGTTTCGATGCTTTATGTTTTGCATGAATACTCTTTCTTCCTGTCGCAACTGCTTTTTCTTATTGGTTTTTGTTAACTCAGGGAGTTGTATGTTTTTTTTTATCTCTGTAGGTATGAAGGATTCGAAGGAATTCGCTCTGGAACTGTTTGATGCTCTGAGTCGTAAACGAAGGTTGAAAGTTGACAATATCAACAAGGAAGAGCTGTTTGAATTCTGGTCGCAAATTACTGATCAGAGTTTCGATTCCCGGCTTCAGATCTTCTTCGACATGTAATTATTCGGTCATCATTGTAGTAATTGATGCTCCTCTGTTTAATTAATTAGTGATAAATAATCTTCCTCTGTTTACTTTCCGTTATTTAATTATGCCCACGACACCTAATGACAAATTAAGCACAGCATTGTTAAATGTCACTGCATATTTGATTTAATATTTAAATGTCCGTC